GAACACACGATGAGTAGGGAAAAAAAGGCTTTCTTACTGTTTACGGAAAGAAAAAAAAAACACAAAACTAGAAAAGCATATTTAATAAGCATAAAAGATATATATTTATATACATGGGCAAGAGCAGAAAATTTCCAGGGAGAAGCAAACTTTCAGACAAATAATTGTTTGTTTTGTGGCGTAGTAAACACTAGTATTGTGTTTTATTCCAAAGACACATGGCAAGTTTTCCATCAAATTCGTTTATTATAACTTATTACAGTAGAGAATTTACATAAAACAATGAGTACATAAACGGTATCTCTATTATTGCCACGTATGACGTTCGCCACCTCGTGGTTTGATTTTTACTAAAATCAGTCTTGGAAGAATTATTTCTAGAAATTGCTTTTCACAGCAAACAAAAAACATTACATAGGAGAAAACAAAAAGAAAAGTAAAAACTAGATTGAAAGAACACATAGCGGACCTAAAATACAATAGAATAAATTCTGCATTTTACGAACATTGTACTATAAACAACTGCAATATAGATAAAGATAACGTAGAAATACTGCATAAAGAAAAATTAACTTACAACAGGAAGTTTAAAGAAACCATAGAAATCATGAAAAGTAAAGACAGTATAAATAAAAACTTAAGTCTTAAAATAAACGAAAACTGGCTTAATATATTATAAATAATTTTTTTTCTGTGAAAAGCAATTTCTCCTAGAAATAATTCTTCCAAGATAGATTTCAGTAAAAATCAAGCACAAGGTGGCGAACGTCATACGTGGCAATACTAGAAATACCAGCGCAAAAGACAAAAAGGGGAAGGGGCGGAAACAGCTAAAAATTTTTACAGTTGTATTGTATCAAAATCTACCTAAAAGGGAAGATTCTGGAAGATTTTAACCTTTTAATTTGTAATATATTGTGGCCGCCAGCGCCAGAGATCCTGAACACTGTCTGGCAACACTTGCCAAGATCACGAACTCTGTCTGGCAACACTTGCCAAGATCACGAACTCTGTCTGGCAACACTTGCCAACAAGAGTGGCTGGCAACGTCAAAAAAAGAAAAGGCGCGAAAGTTCGTGGGATTTTGTCCGGGTGTTGCCCGAGGATGTCTGTGACAGTTCTAACCTTTTCTAATAAAGTTCTTTTTTGTTACTGTTCGTGTTTGCCTGCTTAATGTTAGATCTAAACATCAGTAGGATTGAATGACAAAATATATTAGTTTATTTTCAAAGATTAAAGCAGATTTTACATGTTTTTAAATTATACAAAGTATAACCAAACGTACGTCTATATATCGTTTATGTACTCATTGTTTTATGTAAATTCACTACTGTAATAAGTTAAAAAAATATATATATTTTAGTTGACTGAAGAGAGGCAAAGCCCGAAACGAGTACAAAACAATGTACTGTATCGACTCAACTAATAAACGAATTCGATGGAAAACTTGCCATGTGTCTTTGGAATAAAACACAACACTAGTGTTTACTACGCCACAATTATAAAATAGGACACGGTTTCAAAAAACAAATTGTTTGTTTTATTAAGTTAAAGCAACGCAACACTTGGATGATCTGCGTAGGGACGATGACTTCAGGGAAGTCTTTTAAGGAAAGCTGGATTCTATTCAGGTGTTATAGACGTGGATGAAACCCAGAAAACTTCACGTAGCCAGTCCGTCTAGCTGGGTGCGAACCCACAACCAAATTTCGTGTGTTCAGGAAACGGGACCGCTTGGCTACTGATAGGCCAACCAATAATTACATCAATGAATTTGTATTTAATTTTTTGAGTATTTTTCACAAATAGATTATAGAATACAGTATCGCATGAATATAAAAAGGCATATAAAGTATCACGTGGTAGAGGGTTTAAGGTTACATAAATCTCAATCACTTTTACGATTATTGTTGAGACTTAGAAGTTCATACGATGTTAGCGCATAATTACAAGCAGATGGCGCACCAAGTTTTATATGTGATATCGTGTGATCTACGTAATATACAAGCGTCTAGTCCCTGAGCGAGGCCTCTAGTTTTCGTAATACTGTACAATTCATTACAAATTAAATAAAGATAAAACCAATAAACTGCATTATTAAATTACATAACAGAAACTTTGATTCTACAGAACGCTGTTCTTGTCGTAAAGGGACGATATCAATACAAAAAATCATTCATTTATGAGCAATCTAAAAATTTAACTTATTTTCATTTTTAACTAGTACAAAATACGAATAAAGCATTCGTAATTTGTAATATGACCAGAAAATACCACAAATCGTTTGTTTAGTTATGTTATGGCAACGCAACACTTGAGTGATCTGCCTTCCAGGAGGTTTTTTTAAGGGTAACTGCCCGTTATTCAGGCATTACAGACGTGAAGAAAACCCGGAAAACTCCACGTGGCCAGCCCGTCCGAGCGAGGCGCAAACCCACGACCGAACTCTCAGTGTTCAGGGTGTGGTGGTGTGGAGGACAAAAAAAAGGATGACAAAGAAGTAACTATAAATTAAACAGGATTTTTATTTAACTACAGTTACGTGGTCCTTCGTACACCTGGTTCGTTTACACTGAACACACTTGATCCCAAACTATAGTATGCACACAAGTTCGAAGCCGCCCGACAAAATTCTATATGCTTTCACGGGCAGGAGACACGTGCTCGCGACAATGCAAAATTATGGTTTGAAATACTACAACTAACTTAAATCTATCTTAATCTAACTTATATGCTAAGGAAGAAGGGTGAAGAAATTAAGAGATACGAAGAGAAGAGACAAGTTTAAAGGACAGATTTTGTAAAGGTACCCGGGTAAATTTGGCAGTCTCCGATCTTCTCTATATCGGTACTTGAATTAAATCAATTTTCTTTCTCTTGATTCCATCTCTTGAGAATTCGAGAGCGTTTTTGAAGTCTTAATCTGGGTGTCCTTCTAATTTTCGTCCGTTCGCAGACAACTTCCAAGCCTCCTCTTTTTGTCCCAAAACTCTTTTAGGCGACAAAACTTTGGCTTGCTCCTTTTTCCGTCTGTACATCTCGGACGCTGACCCAAAAGTCTCTTGTTCGTTTTACTGATGGCCTCCAGGGCTTCTTAATGTCCCCTTTGTCTTCTCCCTTTGTCCTTGGACAAAGGTTGTCCCCCACCCACAGAAAAAGAATAGGTTAGAAAGTTCTAGAAACAGACATTAAAGACAAAGGAATTTAGGAGAAATAAAACTTATATCTACCCCTATTTACAAAGACATGGCGTACCGCCACAAGGGTACGAAGATCACTTGGCCACTGGTGGGCAATTTGAAATTTAGAAAAGTGAACTAAAGAAAAATCAAACAACAAAACATTTACTTGGTTTGATTTGGAGGAATACGCAACATACAGACGATTTGCCAAGGGATTGCCCGGAAGGACTTTCTTTGAAAAATTGGCCTTTATTTAGATTTTTATTGAAGAAAACCCTGAAACTCCACTCGATCAGTTCGTTTGTGGGACACAAACTTGAGATCGCTGAACACTGAACATTAGTGTTCATTGTTCAGTGACCGTGAAGTGACCAGTGGCCGAGTGTTTTATGCACTCGACCACTGGTCACGTAACTGATGGGCGTAAAAAAGATGATAGTGCTGTCTCTAGTCTTTATTTATTCTATGAGATGGACCGCACAATCGATATTCGTGGAGTTGTTAAACGACATAAATTTTGAAGATATATATATATATATTTTTTTTGACTTAGTAGGCAAAACTTAGAGCATGCACTGCCTGTAAATATCGATTCTCTGGCACCAAGTTTACAGAATACAGTATGATTATCGAATTTTGGATTTTTTTAAATTTGTACTTTTTCTGCCCTGTAAGCATTAAGGGGGTCTTTTTTAATGCCTTATGGATTCAGTCAATCCCACGACAGAGTCTTTGGGGCCTGAAATATCCGAGATAGACAATTCACGAAAAAATTCCGGAAACAGCTCGGTTCGATTCCTAGTCCTCCAGACAGGAAGGCTCAGAGAAAGCAAAAGGAGCAAATTGTCCTGGGCCTCAAGGCAGTAGGGGGTTCTATACATTGTCGATAAATAAAAACAAAAATTTTTCTTCTACTTCAATATAATAATTAATTTACTACGGCTTTTATCGTGGATTCGGCCAGGCCAACATGGAGATCAGTCATGAGGAACAGTTTTGTATTGAACACTCTTTTATATAATACTACTGGTTAATTAATAATGATGTTTATTAGACCCGTAACACATCCGACTGGGGTGACGACCAAAAACAAAACTAACTTACAAGTTAGACAAAGACAAATTAGTTCATATTTCCCTCCCTGAGGCTCTCTTGTGGTCTTTTTGTTTTTTATATAACTCTTTCCGCCCTGTGGGCACTAAGAGGGCCTCTTCTTGCAAGTCAATTATGGATTCGGCCAGGCCCACAATGAAGCGGCCGTGTGGTGAAAGACGGGGCCCGACATATCCGGACGGACTACCTCCCAAAAAATTCATGGGGTTTTTCGACCCTTCTAGATTCGATTCCGGATACCCCAGAGCGGTAGGTTGCCACCTTGACTGCTCGGCCATCCGGCCAATAGCCGAGCGGTTCAGATGGTAATGCATCTCTGGGAAATCTGGAATCGAATCCGGACGGGTCGAAAAACTCAAGAATATTTTGTAGTGTTGCCGTCCGGATATGTCAGGTTGAGGTCCGTCTCTTACCACACGGCCGCCCCATTGTGGACTTGTCCGAACACATAAATTGGCTTACTAAAAAGGACCTCTTAGTCCCACAAGGTGGAAAGAATTAAAAATGAAAATACTTTCATCAAATACAATTTGTATAAATTTTATGAAAACGAGATTGCTTATTAATAATACAATGCTAATATTAAAAAGAACGAGTGAACTTCTGATGAGAATCGTATAGAAATAAATTCATAAAAGAATATTCAAGTGCAGCGGGATTTAGCCGAAAAATAGTAAAGATGAAAACATTAGTACTGAGATAGCCCGCCAGGTTTCTAGCGTCGCTGTTTCTGAGCCACTCGAGAACTACTTAGGAGTTGTTTCGTGGTAAACGTGTCGTTGGTAGTAGTATAAACAGATTTATATGAAAAAAAAGTTGATTTTAGACAAGAAAATGATCATTTGAATGACATTTTTATACATCGAGATAATTGAAATATTTTGCAATGACATCAATACATTTTGTAGTTCATCCGCTACCGGGAAACGAAGATCAATTGAATGAAAGGTGAGGCTTAGGAAAGGCTAGGGTTAGAGCTAATATCTGTTTTCATTAATTTGATATTAAATAAAGCACGAGAAAGTTATTTCGAACACAATTAGTTTAGTTAAATTATTCTTTAGTATATAATATGAAATCAAAAAAGAATTCCAGTTTTTTTTTTTTTTTGGAAATTTGATAAAGTTACTGTTAAGTAATTCTTGTATGTAACATATATATAAAAATTACCTAATAGTAACTTTCTATTTAATTTTTGCTTATCTCAAATGTCTTTTTGATGAAATTTTTTAATAATTTTTAGAATCAATTCCAGAAAATAGTTTTGATATGAATTAGTGAATTTCTTTTTATATTTGTTGTTGTCTACTTAATTATTATTATAAGAATTTTATCATCCATCATCAAAACAGATTGGTACTTGCATAGTAATTGAATGAGTCAAATTTACATTATTAAATTATGTTCAATTTCTCAAGCTATTATTACACTGAAATAAATCTATTTTAATTCACATCTAGAAGAATAAATGAACTGAAAGTAATAAGAGTTTTTCTCTTTTTTTTTTTTATAAATAATTATGTTAAAAGAAAAGAAAATTTAGTTAAACTTTAAAGGAACTCTTTGAAAAAAGTTTAAACTTCTAATCAAGAAAACATTTATGCTTGTTTTTTCAGTTTTCTTACTTCAAGCAAATGAAAGGTGAGGCTTGATCAATTCTATGTATTTGTATCAAAGAATAAAATATATGTATGGGCATCTTTCATATAACACGATAGTTAGGTTTAGAAAAAGTGCCGTGTTATGTGAATCCATGCTATACAAAACAAAGGACTAATATGAAATATAAGGTTAGATTCTAAAATTTTGCAAAAGTGTATAATTCTGTTTTTCACTAAGAGAAATATGTTTATTAAAACAATTGATAATTTATTTCTAATCGATAATTAACTAACAATCACGATTAAAAGTACTATATGATGCGTTAATATTAATTTAAGTTAAACAAGGACATTTTCTATTTACAAAGTATAGTTTTCTGAGATTTATTTATTTATTTATTTATTTTTTTGTCAATCTTGGTCAGAAATATTGGTGTCTTCATTTCTTTATTTTCTTATTTTTATCATAAAAAATTTTTATGGATGACAAAATGAAAATTTGTTCTAGAAGGCCATCATTTGTTCAGTTGAGTATTAAGCAATTTTTCTCCAGAATTTGTGTTCAAATACTGAATAGTTGGAGTTGGGAACAGTTCAAGTACTGAGATACTGCCATATTTTGTTTGTCATTTTTAACCTACTTTAGTCATTTTAAACTTTTTTTAATAATACCTAAAAATATTTAAATAAACTTTACTAAATACGAAAATTAATCTATAAAACCAAACCACTGTGACAGTTTTAAATGCTAATGTCTGAAAGCAACGTCAGCAATATTTGGTTGATAGGAAAGCTGGAACAAGGAAGAAAAAAATTGCACTATTGGTTTTCATTAAAGTAAACCTGACAAAAGGCACAAAAACAAATTTGAAAATTTCAATATTGTAACATCCATAGACAAATTTGAAACAACTTGCATGTTTACTTCAATAAAAAATATCAAATAAGGGAGTTTGCAATTAAAAATTGTGAAATTTTATATGGACAAATTCTCAAATTGTGCTAGAGTGAAATTACAGGTAACCCCCATATAACACGGTAGTTACGTTCCAAAAAATTGCTACATTATGTGAATCCATGTTATACGAAACAAAGAACTAGTTCGAAAAAGAGGGTTAGGTTCCAAAAATTAAAAAACATGTTATTATATTTTCATAATTAAGATAAATATCTTTATTAAAATTTTCTTAAGTGATACATATTAATATAAATTAAACAATGTTTTCTTTGTCATCACTAAAAGCACTATTAACCGAGAGCGTTTTCTTTTTGGCAAGTTATCCTTATCCTCTGAGCATTTTTCTGCATTATCTTCAGATCCATGCTTTACCTTTTGCAAAAAGTATGTAATTTTAGATTGCTTG